CCTGGGACTCTGTTCAGGAAGTTCCTTCCTGTGCCTATTAGTTCAAGTGTCTCTCCTACTCTGTCCTGCAGTAGTTTCAGAGATTCAGGTTTAAGGTGAAAGTCTTTAATCCATTTTGAGTTGATGTTGGTGCATGGTAATAGGCTGGTGTCTACTTTTTGTTTTCTGCATGTGGCCGCCCATTTTTCCCAGCACCAGTGGTAGAAGAGGCAGTGTTTCTTCCATTGTATGTCTTTGGCTCCTTTGTCAAATATCAGCTGACCATAGGCCTGTGGATTTATTTCTGGATCTTCTATTCTATTCCATTGGTCTTCGGGTCTGTATTTGTACCAGTACGATGCTCTCTTTGTTATAGCTCTATAGTAGAATTTGAAGTTCGGCATGGATATCCCTCCCATGTTGTCTTTATTCCCTAGAATTGTTTTGGCTATTCTAGGTCTTTTCTTGTGCCATATGAATTTTGGGACTGTTTTCTGTATTTCTGTGATGTATATCATTGGGATTTTAATAGGAATTGCATTAAATTTGTATATTAATTTTGGCAGTATTACCATTTTCACTATATTAAGTCTGCCAATTCAAGAGCATGGGAGGTCTTTCCATGTCCTCCACTATAGCTTTTCTACTGAGCATTCTCATCCCCAAATAGGTTTGAGATGTAGAAAGATTTCTCTTGGCTGGAATGTGATATCATTTGATATTTGATGTGCCGTTTTCTCTTACAACTTTTCCCCAGAAGTGATCTATGTCTGCCTGACCTTGGGCATGGGTTTGATGGTGTGTGCCTTTGTGCCTGGTCTAGCACCCAGGTGCTGGCCTTGAGCTTTTGTGCTCAATGCCAGAACTTTACTATTGGATCAGAGCTCCACTTGTAGCTCTTTGGGAAGTTCTCTGGAGATGATTGTCTCAAGGACTTTCATGCCCAGGTTGGCATTGAACTGGGATCCTCAGATCTCAGACTTGCTGAGTAGCTAGCATTCTAACCATACGCAATATTCTCAGTCTCTGGTGCCACAAAATGATCTCACGGTACCATGGGTTTCCATTCTTTTTATTTTTGATTGAGTAATACAGTACATTCTAGATAGAGATTGCCCCACAACTTAGAGGTTTGCTTACAACCATTAGAAACACAAATGGTGTTGCACATGTTTCCAGGCAAACTTGACTCCAGATTCCTGATGGTGTATGCACAGGGCACATGTATCCCCAAAGTGCTCAGAGACTACTAGGGTTCCAGAGTTACCACTGAATTGGAGAGGTCAGGACCAGGCTCCCTGTGTCATACACCCACAGTGAACTTTGGAGTTTACGTCTCCTGGACAATGTACTTCTCTCCTGGCTTTTGTTTCTGATGCTGAGAAGAGATTCTAGGAGAGAGTTGCCTGATTACTCAGCAAGAGCAGAAAGTCCTGCACAACCCTTCCTTGTTTTCACCCAGGAGCCATCAGGGCACAGGATATAGAATTCACAATCTGAGTCGGAAAAATATTTCTTGCTCCAGTTACTATCCTTATTGACACAGATCTGGACCTTGTGGGTTGTCTCCATGTGTGTCAGTGCCTGTGCCAGATCAGCCTGAACCTGGGCAAATCTCCGAGGGCTGTAGAGCACTTGCTTCAGATCCCGGGAAAGATGGTAGCTCTCTAGAGGGGCAGGATAGATCCCTAGTCTCAAGTGGCGCAGCCTGGACATGTGTCTCAAGAGGTTCTGCAGGGCAGCCATGGAGATTTTGTTTCCATAGAAACTGAAGAAGCTGAGGTGGAAGCACTGGATCAGAGCAGGCAGGATGGCAGAGAGCCTGTCATCAGTGAAGTCACAGAACTCCAGGGCCAGGGACTCCAGGGTGCTGGTCACTGGCTGCAGCAGGGTTCTCAGGCGGTCAGGCCTGAAGGTGTTCAGGACCAAATTCCTCAGATGCAGGTGCTTGAGTTTCCTGGTGCAGGGACACTGAGCCAGAAAACAAAGGTCGGCATCCTGCATTCTAAGTTCATTCAGAGACAAGGTCTTCAAAGGCGTCAGTCTCCTCAGGATAGTGGGCAGGTTTCCATCAGAGAAGAAGCCGTCATGCACATGAAGCTCCTGCAGGTGCTGCAGGTGCCTCAGCTGTGCCCAGAAGAAGTGGAGATAAATCCATTCTTCAAATTGAGTATATTGGTGATAGGACCTAATCTTGGTGCATTTGAGGATGTGAAGGTTCTTCATCTGCCTGAGGTAAGGAGCCAACTTGAAAATCATTTTAACAGAGCAGCTTACTTCATTCAGGACAAGTTCCTGGATGGAGTCCAAACTCACCACCAGTAGAGTCTTGTAGACTTTGGACAAGGAGCTCTGGAGAATCTGTAGCTTCCTCGAGCACAGCTGGACTCTTTCCTTCTTCTCTCTGGCCCACTGGAGCAGGTAGGCTTGGAGATCATCCTGGGCTCCATTTTTGATGGTCAGGTCAATGGCAATCAAGAAGGGCTGCTCTTCAGTCATCCCTGAATGGCGACTTCTTGTGGGTCTGTCCATCAGAACTCCTGAGGGAACGATTCGGGCCATGGATGTGTAGCCCTGTGTCCAGATGTCTGGGTTCTCCTTCCGCAGATCTAGCACTTGTAGTTTCACCGCATGAGGGCGCTCCTTGTTGGCAAGTATCAGGTCCAGCCCATCCAGGACAGCCTTGAAGGTTTCCAGGTCTGGTGACTTGGCCAGGTCCCCCAGGGGGAGGCAGGAGAAGGGCCAGGCCTGCACCATGGCCTTGAGCACCTCTGTGTGGCCCCTGGCATAGGCCTCCTGGAAGAGCCAAGGGAACAGCAGCACTGGAAGATCCTCCAGGCCAGAGGTGGCCAGGGCCTGGTAGCTCAGCAGACTCTGCATGGCCAGATGCTGGAGTGAGGCAGGAGTCCTGATGCTCATCTTGAGGGAGGAGTCCTGGACCAAGTGTGAGGCAGCTCTAGGAATCCCAGCAGGGCCAGGCACTGACTGCAGGCTCTGGGACTCTGGTGCTCTTCTCTGATCCCTGGGCATCTTTATACCCCAACCCCACCCTCTCCATTGCAGAGGTTCCAATCAGAGTGCAGGTTCTGATGGGATTTCTGAGCGTCTCAGATCACACCTTGCTAGGGTATTGCCCTTGAGAAGAATCCAATCAGTGGAGTACACCAAAAAGTGATAGGGTTAAAGGTGTGACCTACACAGAGCAGCTTCTCTTTGAAATTTAAAACACAATGCAATGGAAAGACTTCCCATGCATCTACAGAAATCCCTCCAGACATTCCCAGAGGTGTTCCATTGGCTGAGCCAGTAAGGGACCCAACATGAGCATCCAGCTCATCTTTCTAAGATCCACAAAGAGTTCAGGAAATTCTGTTTCTGTACTTCTTTCCTTCTCTCCCTCCCTTCCTTCCTCCCTCATTTTTTCTTTCTTTCTTTCTTTCTCTTTCTTTCTTTCTTTCCTTCCTTCCTTCCTTCCTTCCTTTCTTCCTTCCTTACTTCCTTCTTTCTTTCCCTCCTTCTGTGTTTTTTTTTGTACTGGCCCTAGAACTTTAACTCTGAGCCTGGATGTTGTCCCCTACCTTCTGTTACTTCTGTTTGTCAAGGCTAAGGCTCTACTACTTGAGTCACAATACTACTTCTGACTTTCTGGGGAGTCGAATGTAGACAGTCAGGGTCTGCCCAGCACTTGGGTGTTTGATAATCATTTAGAAAAGCAAGATTATATTCCAGTTCTTTCCAGGCTGAATTCACTCTAGATTTCTGATGGTATATGCACAGGACACATGTACCCCCAAAGCCTCATTGACACTGCCTGGCTTCTCTTTCAAATGTATAACAAACTGAACACAAAAGAGATCCTACCCAAGCACCTTAATTTCTCATGACATTCCCACTGATTGTCTGATGGCCAGCACCTACAAACAACCCAAGATCAGCCAGCCCAACTTACGGCATCCACCATCATATCTGGTCATTTATGTCTACCTTTCTTTTCCTTCCCTCCTTTTCCCTCTCTCTCCTACCCTCTAACCTCCCCTTTCTTTCCTTCTTTCCTTCCTTCCTTCCTTCCTTCCTTCCTTCCTTCCTTCCTTCCTTCCTTCCTAACTTCCTTCCTTCCTTCTTGTGCGTGGGCAACATTCCAAGCTGTGAGACCCCAAAATGATGGGGAGTTTGATAGACTTCCTTCCCACATAGTGTCACAACACTGAGAGTTTCCTGGATAGGTCAATCAGTCTGGGTTTCAGGGGAATTCATTTTTTACCTGGGTGGAGGCTTATTCCCCAGTATACTGTGTGGGAACATTGTGGGAGACACAGTTTTTTGCAAAGTGTAAGGTGTTTACTGCTTAGCTGTACTTTCCAAGGTGAGGAAGTCATCTACTACTTGTATACCAAATATTGTCATATGTTATAATTTATCCTTACTTTCTGTACACATTTCCCTGTATAAAAACCAATCAAAACCTTGGTTAATTGAACTTTGGAATCTGAAGCTAGCGGAAGGCTACAGGTCCCCTGCTACCCCAAACCTCAGTTCCATGGTCTGGTCCCCATTACTGCTTTGATCCCAGTCATAGCAGGTTAAGGGCCATGAGGCAGGTTACAACCCCTTCCTTCCTTATTTCCTTATTTCCCTCCTATCTTCATTCCTCCCTCTTACTGACTCTCCCTCCTTTCCTTCCTGCCTACCTTCCTCCCTTATTTCCTTCCTTCCTCTCTTTTTCAGTTGTGTGGAAAAGAGACTTGAA